AAATGTATAGCTAGGATGCCAAGAATTTTCTGTAACATGGGATGCTTGGATCTGCATGGATCTATCTGTTCCTTTATCACCTTTGGTGTGTCTTCCAGTTCTGGCACATCTATCTCATGAGAGGGAATTATTGTGGTTTTGACTGCTTAATTGAGTCCTAGACAGTAGCTTGCCTTCCATACAGGGAAAAGCTCTGCTTTGGTCCAAGAGAGCAGAATTTGACAGTAGCTTGACAGTTTCCCTTGACAGGGAAAAGCTCTGCTTTGGTCCAAGAGAGCAGAATTGGATTTTTGGGAGCTGTCATCTTTCCTGTTTAGCATTGAAAATGGATATGGCCATGCTACAGGATGGCAGGACCAGACTTTAGCCATCCTACTCTGAGAAAAGGATGTAATGCTTATTCCTGATTATTTGAGAGCATTTGGATGTTGGTATTTTTTCAGTATAAGGAGTAGCAGTTGTTGATCTCATGACAAAAGGGAGGTTAGGTGAGAGAACACCTGAATCTTAATGGGTTTGGGGCCAAGCTTCATTTGGTGATGCAGCTGAGAAATGCACTGTGGTGTTTAGAATTGCCCTGCAGAGGCCTTTTAGAGAGAAAAAGGATAGTAGGTGCTAATTCATCTGTCAGATGTGGCGCTCTTAGCAGGCGTGAGCATTAACGTGCATTAACTACTGGTGTAGGTGCACACACCACACAGAGTTAAACATACGAACAGCAGGCTCACACTGTGCTCACTACAGATGTCTGAATGAGTGAGTGCCTGTGGGCTGGAGCTGCATGTCTTGTGGCTTTCACTCTGCTCCATTGGGAAGTCTTCACTCCTTTTGTTTTTATCCTTTTCCAGCTCCAGTACTTTGGAGCACACAGCTCCCATCCCCTGACCTAACAGCTCCATTGAAGTGCATTCCAGCCCCATGATTTCATGGTACCAGGCAGAAATCCCCTGCCACGTTGCTATGCTGCCCGCTGCTTCTCACAGAGTGAACAAACAGGGAACATAAACTCTCTCCAAAGGAGCAATGTTCTTTGTATATTTTTAGTGCAAGAAATCCAAGATTCATTTGAGGGTGTTTTGTGTGGGCTTTTTTTAATATAGACTTCTGCTAACACAATGGAATATTTCATGCCACCCTGTTTGCTGTAACGTCTTGTGCTTTATGTTGTTAAATGGAATCAAAGGAGTTAAAGATGAAAGACTTCTAGTCAACTGGTCCCTCAGCTGGGAGCCAGTATGGGTTTGTTCTTTGTAATGGATTTGCTAATGCTTTACTCAGGTTCAGTCTAGCTCAGTTTTCATTATTGGATTTACTTATTTCTGTGAATTCTACTTCAGGTTAAGTAATTGCTGAGCTTAGACTGAATATAATGCTGCTACTGTTTGTTTCTAATCTTTCACTTGCTATTTATTGCCCTTATACTGAACAAACCTTTTGTAAGTATTTGTTTACCATTTGAACATACAAAGCACCATTAAAGATGTCATGCTTGCCTTCACAGGTATTCTCTTTAATGGATAGAGAACTTGATTCTTTCTTTATATGAAACTGTGTCCATTTGTACATTGTGTGTTTTATTTTCAACATGTAGTGTGTCACCAGATGCTGACTTATGTAGTATTGCAACAAACCTACCTTTCATTAGCTCATTGTTAGCCTTTGAATATTTGGAGTAAGTACAGTATTTGAACATACAGTTTATGCTTAGACACTGATGTCTTGTATTTTCTTGGTGAAAGACATTCTCAGACTGCCTGTTTAAATGTCAGTATTGCATTTTTATGTATTGAGTGTATTATACCCACATTAATGGAAACAATTTTGCCGATACATCCAATATGTTCATAATAACATTATCTACAGACTGGACAGTGATCCAAGAACTTGAAAAGGCAAATAATGAACATGTTATGGGAAACATTCAAAGCAAGGACTGCAGCTGCAAGGGAACTGGGTCTACCTGACTTGGGGACCAACAAAATTTCTAGACAGAACTGTTCTCCGCAGGCTCAGGGTGTGGGCACTTTTTGAGTCAAGGTATTTGCACATGAGCTGATCTGTGCTGACTGCACAGAAATTCGTGTGCCCTGGTATAACACACAGTTACCCCAGCGGGTAGAGATGCTCCTGCACTGAAGTAGCACCAGCTTCAGAGCTCCAGGGAAAAGAAGCAGTAACATCAGGAGACATGGCAGGTGATGCTGTCTTTTACTAGACTGAAGTTGGAAGATGTGCAACTTTCTGCACTATGCTTTGACTTGGTCATCCTAAGATACTTTAGTTGGTGTGGGTCCATAGTGGATTTCTGGTACATGATAATGTTTCTGAGCTTTTATAACCATGCAGGTAAAAATCATATATTAAGTGACTGGAGTCAAGGCAATAATCGTATAATAATACTAATCTCTTAACATGGCATTATCTGTGCCTTCTTACAGTAAGAGCTGTATATCAAGAGCTGTGTGTAAGAGCTCTTTGGGGAAGCAAGGGATGTAAAGTGCAAGTGGAGGAAGAAAAGAATACAGGAGAGAAGAAATTGTCTGATAAGAAAATGGAGAGTAGGGCTGTAAGAATTATGTTCTGTGAAGAAGGGTGTTGTTAAGCAGGCATATAAATGGGCACCAGAAAGCAACCAGTACTGTAGGGAGAAGTAATTGTGGGAAGGAGTGTCAGAATTCGAACTTAGTGAGTGGAGATAGGGACATGAAAAAATATTATGTGCTCTGACAAACAACCAGCTGTTCTGGAATCCCAGTAGAGGGTAGAACACCATGTTACTGGTCAACTATTTCCTCTCTGACTTCTTATTGTCTTAGTTAAGAAACATAGGAAGCAAAAAACAAATGCTATGCCTGTGAAGTACCTGTTGCATTGCCTAGCAGCTGCTCCAGGCCTGTAGTAATAGAAATACAGCTCTAAAGTCTAGTGAATCCCAAGTTTCTGTAAGACTTCATTTTGTTTATACACAATGGAATGTTGAATGCCTCCTTCTGTAAGAGAGCACCTGGCCCTTCTCAGTGTTAACAGGAAGCTGGCTGCAGTCATGGGCCAGGTAGTAGCTTAGTAGGAGGTGAGTGGATTCTGTGAGGGGTGAGAAGTGCTCTGATGTAGGTTCCTAGGAAAACAAGGAATCAAATGCCAAATGAGAGATTGAGTATCATAACTCCATTTTTGTGTAATGAAGAAAAGAGGCACATGGGTGGTCGAGGACTGGAACACAAGGACTGGAAGCTGGAATTACTGTTGGAAGAAGTGGTGTGCTTTTCATTGCTTCAAGTGACTACCTTGAAGCTCCTGTGCTGGAGCTTCTCCAAGAGCACTTAGAAACTGACTCAAGAATATACTAGAAGTCAGGAAGATTTTTGGGATGGGATGAAGGGGTTGCCATCAAGATTTAAATGTATAGGCATTTATGTGAGCAGGAGAAATTAGCATGGCAGCTAGCCCAAAGCTGCTCTTTTCTGTCATCAGCACAAAGACTTAAACATTGAGTAAGAAAATTGTCTTGATCTGAAAAACAAGCTTGCTTAGAAGAAAAGAGAATTTTTCAGCATTTCAGCATTTAGGAAGAAATAGTATAGGCTTTTCTGAGCTATAGATCATACTTAAAAGTAATGAAGTCCTATTCCACTTGGAAACACGTTTTCATTAATTTTTCTCAAGTCTGAGTCAAAATGAATTAAGTCAATTTGAAGTCCTTTTTTTAATAGTTAAAAGTAATGGCACTTGGCCGTGACTTTTACTGCCATTTTGTGTGGTTTAATAGTTGTATGTCTTTTTTTTCTCCCACACATTTGTAAGAGATTCACAGAAAAGAAAACAGACTACATCAGTAAATAAATTCTTCCTGCTAAGTTATAGATGTTTCTCATAAAATCTAGCAGGCAAAAAATCGTGCAGCCACAGGCGTTGATGATCCTGCCACACAACTGAGTCTGAGGATTTGTGTTGTATTTGCTGTGGCTGGGGTGGGGGACCCTCATTTATAAGTTGAGCAGTCTTGCATGCTCTTGCAACTTGGCATGTAACAAGCATTTTCACATAAAACATTGCTGAGCTACTTCTGAATATGGTGGAATTCTTTGGGAAGGTCAGGGAGGTAATTGATCATATGCTGACAGCTCGGGGCTCTGAGAAAATGGTCAGATGGAGGGCTGGGATGCAGGAAAACAAACTTTCTGAGATGGTAACTGTCACTTAGCCAAGCTATACATGTTTCAAGCTTTTTAATTTTTGCTCACAACCTCAGCTTCTTAGTCTTTTTTTGTTTTTGCTGTTTCTCTGTGAGCTCTTTTCCGATGTTGACATTTTACTGGTCCTGATGCATGGACAGTATTCTAGGTGTGATCTTGAGCTATAGCCGTATTTCTTTGTAGAAATTCTATTGCTGCCAAAATGGGGAGTTTCAGAACTTTGATGATCTCTTTCATTATTCTTTGACCTTTGGGTCAAGAAGTAGGTTTCTTTCAGGAACTGCTCAAAATGTTCTTTGCAGCTAGAAAAATAAGACTTCAATGTTTATGGGAGTTAAGATGGCAATCTACTGGGACATTGCATGAGTTTACAACAAAAATGCTTGAATTTCTCTGCTCTGTGACCCTAAGTTTCTATATCAGAGTGGATATAGATACTGAAGTGTGGATGTAGAAACTAAATAGAAACATACAGCTTTGGTGCAAAAGAAATGAAAGAATCTAGCACTTGGTTTCTGAGACCAACTTTTCGCCAATCTTGTTTACAGCTGTCTTTTTTTGCATATACAGTCTGACAGCTTAAAATTATGGTAGTTTTTAGTCTCTCTGCTGTGAGATAGAGTATTTTAACTGACTTATTGCAGTTATTGGTTCTGAGGTCATTTATGCATTACTACACTGACAGGAAGGGAGAAGAGATGGGCATAAATGAGGCTTTTTAAATGACTTTAAAATATAAAAGAATATGGGGGGGGGGGGGGGGGGGGGGAGGAAAAAGCATGCTTATTTTGCCAATGTTTGTCACAGAATGTGGTCGTGGATCGGATTTTCTCGGGTATCCAGCCAACTGGGACCCCTCATCTGGGTAACTACCTTGGAGCCATTCAGAACTGGGTGAATCTGCAGGAAGAGTGCAGCTCGGTGCTCTATAGCATTATGGACCTGCACTCTCTCACCATGCCCAAGGAGCCAGCTGTCCTGCGCCAGAACATCCTGGACACCACTGCTGCCATCCTTGCCTGTGGGATTGACCCAAAGAAATGTCTCCTGTTCCGGCAGTCACTGGTGAGTGCTCCTTTTGTGTTGTTGGATTTGTTTCTGATTAAGTGGCTTTCCACACATCCTAATGAATGAGTGTAGCGTTGCTGAACTCCTTTATCATGTTTGTGTTGGTGGTCCTAGAAAATGTTAGCAGTGTTGGATTTTAAACTTGTCCTTTGCTGCAGCTTTGAAATTTTGAATGCTGCAACCATGACTGAGAAGCCCATTTAGGGGTAAGTACACTGTAAATTTCTGAAGCAGAGCTAGGAGTTTGTACAGGTTATGACTAATATACTTCAAAGACCTTTTAGAAGACCACTAATTTGTCTCTGTGTCACTTTAGTCGCAAAAGGTTAACTCATAAATGCATAAACCTGGCTTGTGTAACCATAAAGGTAAGGAAAATGTGTTTCTATGTTTTTGTATCAGCTCTTGCCACTCATTCTACCAGCTGCACAGTAATCACAAAGTAACAGGTGATTAACTTTTGTATCAGTTCCACCTTGGTCATCAGGAGGTTACATCTTCTCTGGACTTTCCCTTCTTTGCTGTAACCTCCTTTTCATGCAGACGCTTTTCTATCTGATCTGGTAATTCACATGTAAACCATGTGCTCCTCTTGACTACCCCAAGGGTTACTGGGCTTACCTTCCTGCTTGGCATATAGCTATCACATGTTATCTTTTCCTGGAACACAGGTTAGTTTCTTGCTTAATGAACTTTCTGTTACTGACTCTAAACTGGCAAACATCTATAATTTCCACGGACACAGATGTGTCATAGCTTCTGCTCTTGTGAAGACACCCATAAGTGTGTGTCCACCTTGCAACAGAACTGCAAAGCTGATGGCACACAGGATCTGAATTTTATCAGTGCAAGCTGAGATGATGTTGTATTCTCCCTTTCAACACGATTCTTTACAGGCAGAGTTTCCTGGGGTTGTTAAACTACAAATAGCAATCTATATCCCTGGTGAATAATGAATTGATGAAGACAGATATACTTCCTGCTTCACTTTTCCTCTGTGTTAAAAAACCAGTCTAAATAAATGATCTCAGAATTCTAGTGGAAATACGTTTAAATAAATTCACCCCATTTTTTTCAAATCTGTTTATCATTTTAAATATGTTACCAGCTTGGGTTTTAATTTTCCTCTACTCTGACTTGTCAGCCTCAGAATGATGAAGTCATTAGCTGGAATAATTGCAAGGTGAGTTACAAGCCAATGATGCAGTAAAAACCAGTCTAGAGAGGTTTTTTTCTTGTTTTCAAGCAGCTGAACAATTCAATTAGTTACAACACAGGATCTGTGACTAGATACACAGAGAGGACTCTTCAGCATGAAGGATAAATGCTTTGCAGGTTATAATTGGAGAGGAATAAAGTGAATGTTTATAAAACTGCAAGTGATATGGAGAAATTGTTTTATCCACTGAAGAATGTGAACTGACAAATATCAAAACAAGTTAACACCTGGAAGATTCAACACAAGCATAACAATGCTGCATTTCACAAAATCCACAATTGGGCTACAAAACCCCATGACACAGGATACAGTGCATGCTGAAATTCATATGAATTCAGAAAGAGACTCGACAAATTAATCTGAAAAATTGCTTTGGGACTGTTGCATATCTGAGCAGTCACCTCTACAGGAAGTGGTGAAACCACAGATGGGAGAATATCCATGCTTTTCTGCACTTATGTTCTTTTTTTTTCATTGGTTGCTGTCAGAGATGGATATTTGATCTGGTCCAGTGTTGCTTTTCTTATGTTCCTACTGGTCTAAAAGCTAAATTAGTGCTGTTCCAGGTCTTGCTAAAACCAACACCCAGGCTTCCCTTGAAGCCAGCAGATTATCAGTGAGGATCTTACGTTGCACTCAGCCACAGAAAGTATGTTGTGTCTTTCAAAATAGAAAATTCAGAGATTTGAGTCTTTGAACCCCCAAAGAAAAGGTGTCAGACTCAGGAAATGATGGCTCTTTGTGCAGTGCTTTCTTTCTACAGTACCAATACAGTCAAAAACCAGTGAAAACTTAAGACAGCTGAACTTGAACATGTTCAGCTTTATCAAATGAAATACAATTCTGATTTTCCTTATGGTGGTTAGGCTGGCCTCAGTTAAATAGATTTTAATTTGCCTTTTTACCTTAATTTTACTGTGTCCTTATCTGTCCAGATCTAATGGTCATTGTTCTTATTAAATCTAAACTGTTAGATTAAATGTTTCAGCCTTGTCTGATGTCTTGAATGTTATTCTTACCAATACTTACCACACAAGTATCCATACAACTTTCAGAAGTGGCTGATTCTAGCACATTTTTGAAAGCTCATTGTCACACTGCAGTCAGAAAAGCTATTACAGTTGTTTGTGAATATAGACTGTTTCAGCACTGGTTCAGGCTGAATTGGTTTGTCAGCTTCCCCAAACCAAGTCTGTACAAGCTGTATGAAGTGGTCAGGTATACCCAGAGATGCACTGTGATCTGTTACATTTACATAGGCAGCACCAGATGTTTCTCTGGAAGCAATTAAAAGGAGTATCTGCATGTAGCTCTTGATGTGAGGAAAGGAGACAGGAACCTTGCTAATGTGATTATTGTTTTAGTATGATAATGAAATAGTACATTATGGAATGTCATCGAGATGATTGTTCCTAAAAATGAAGGTGTAAGATGGATTACAGCTATTGCTAATCAAGGAAGTTTATTGCTGGATTTTGATTGGAAATTTCTCAGATTTCAAAAAAAAAGGAGCTGGCCTCCTTTTCAGCCACTGTAGCAGTCTCCAAGGGTGGTCTAAAAAAGCCCTACTTTTGTTTACAAACATTTGGCTGAGGTGTAAAGCAAAGTGACCAAAACTGATTGTATACTGAAATAGTGTGTGTACTTCCAGAGGTCAGCAGGAAAGCAGTGGAAATTCAGCCACAAATAGAAAACTGGATTAGGTACTTAGTTATGGACAGAGTAGTTTTTTTCAATAGCTGATCAAACTGCTAAATGAGAATTCGCCGTAGCTTAGCATGCTGTAATTATTGTTGTATTTTGAGTTCTATCTAGAAAATTACCAAACCTGTAGATCACAGAAATGTTTCTTTAATTAAACCTGAATGACATTTCTGTTCATTTTTTTAAACAAACATCATGCAACAAAATTATTGTTCATGAACTTTTAATCACCAAAACTCACCACAACTAATGACTTTTTCTGTACCCTGATTCTGTAGCACTAAAGCAGATTGAAATTCTTGCACTACAGTAGTATACTAGTAGTGGTAAGCCCCACTAAGGGAATTGCTCATGTATTCATTCATGTAAATGCTGTCGTGTCCTGTCACTTTCTCTGGATTACACTGGGCAAGAGTGGTCTAGAATTGCTGAAAAGGGCTTGGGTTTTATTGTTCTTTGTTTGTTTGTTTGGCTTACTCTTTTTTATTTTGCTGCTTGTGTTGCTTCTCTGGAATATGTTGCCCATATGTGAAAAAATATAATGCTACTAGGTTTCTCAAAACCTAGTGCCTTTTAGTAAGGGTCTCACTTATTTTACTTACTTAGGCTCTTTTTCAAATCTCTAATCCAGAGATATCTGAAATACCTGCCTCGAGAGATTTCACACACTTTATCAGCCTTTTCAATACAAGCAAGAGACAAAAGGCTGAACAATATGAATCACAGACTGCTGGGAGAAAGTGTGGTGAGAACAGATACCTCTCGTCTTATACTAGGTCCAAAAGGTGCTGTTATGATAAGGATACAGGTGAAGTACACTTGGAATCCCAGAACAGATTTCAGTGATGTCCTCTTCTTTCAACTAAAATTAAACAGAAGTGACAAAAATTTTGCATGAGCAAGTTTTTTATTGTATTGTTTAGAGAGCATATGGCCTATGTTCTTTTGTATTGCATTTACAGCTAAACTACCTATAAATGGAAAGTACTAGTTGGATGAAAATTAGTTTTGTATGCTTCAGAATTTACCATTTATAGATTATATTGTTTTAAAACTTGTACAAACAGTAAGTTAATGGCTGGTTGTATATTTGGTCTTAATGCATTGCAGTTCAACAAATATCTCCCACACTTCCATTACCATATAAAAACTTGAATTCCAGCCTAGGGAAGTAGTGGCTACAAAGAACAAGTGATGATAACTTGAAAATATTTAGAAGCAAGAAGGATAGCGATGAATAATTAGGGTAGTGTTTGGAACCACATTGTCTGTGAAGGGTTATAAACAAGCACATTTAATTAGAATATCTAGAAAAACAATTGTGGTGTATGTTGGACAGTAAAATGGCCTCCCAGTGAGAGAAGCTCTTTCATTACAGCTTGTTTAATTATATTTTCTCAAGTAGGAAGTTACAGAAAAGTGACAATTTTAGTAAGAATAAAAAATAAAAATAAATGCATATTTCAAAATAGTGCATTTTTATTTGGAGTACAGCTGCAAGATGTATGAAACCCTCTTAGAGAAAATAATGTCAAGATATGCTTTAAGTGGCTGCCTTTGCCTACGGGGCATAAAAAAGAAGTTATGGAATAATAACTTATACAACATATCGTGAGAGTATTAGAAGAAACAGAAAATATATTCCTTAAATTGTACCATAACTGATACAAGCTGTAACAGTCATCTTTCATAAAACTTAGATCTTTTATTAAAACCAAAAAGGACTATGGGGGGGGGGGCGGGGGAAATAAGGAAGACAGTATGCAATCTGCACACGTGGTAAACTTATATGATATAACCCATTTTCTCTGATTCATGGTGGGTACACTACACATTTCAGTTCTTACCCATAACCATCTTGTATCTCATCTGCTTCCCAGTCAAAACAATATTAGAAACTTATTTTGCTTTTATGTGGTCTCAGGCTGTTCTTCCTGTCCACCTATCTATTGTAGCAGACACATGCTAAATGTCCCAAGAGAAACCAAAATTCCATCAGAGTTGATTCAGCAGGCAGTGCTTGATACGCTGCATGAACACTTCTCTGAGGAGTCCTGTGAGTTTCTGGACAACA